CTCCACCCAACCCTACCCCCCTTTCCTTTGGCCTTCACCAAACAATTGTCAGTGTCCATGGGGTACACATATATGTTCTTTAGCTATTCCCTCACCTTCTTCATCTCTTTTATTCTAATATGACTTTACCTTAGAAAACTTTCACACGCACGTATTTTTCTTCCCAGATCACTCAGTAATGACTGACATATGAATTTATTAAAATGTTATGAGCATTAGCTTAATTTGGTTTTTCACTAGAAATAAAGCTTTGATTTTAAAATAATTTTAATGAGCATTGAAAGAACTCCAGAAAGTCCAAACTATATGGATAGAAGCTGAAAAAACACTATATGCTTCAAGGGGAGACTATTACCAATATTCACTTGATAATGACCCCAACTTCTTGCAGGAAATTAGTAGCCTCAATAAACTTTCCACCCTAACATTGAATAGTTCTTCCTCATTTGAAATTCTCCAAATGTTATAATTATTTAGCTCTGAATGAAATGTGCCAACAAAAACACATATTTCATTAAATAAACTTCACTTAAAACCATTATTATTTTTTTTTCTGCATTTTCAATGATTGGGACTATTCCTCAACTAAAGAAATAAATAACATTAGACAAAACTTTGATTCTAATATCCCGAATTGTCCCTAACATTTGAGTTGTTACACGGAGAAGATCTGAGAAGGGTGAAATAACTTTGTAGATTCTATGCATTACGATAAAACAGAGACAATTTTGCCTTCTCAACAACCTTCTTAAAGGCACCCTTGACCTCTTTGTTCCTCAGGCTGTAGACCAGAGGGTTCAGCATGGGGATGACCACAGTATAGAACACAGATGCGATTCTGTCTGTGTCCAGGGAATGGCTGGAGCTGGGCTGTAAGTACATAACGATGACAGTCCCATAAAATATGGAAACTGTCACAAGGTGAGAAGCACAAGTAGATAAAGCCTTCTGATATGCCCCTTTTGAGTGCATCTTGGAAATGGTAATAAATATCAACAAGTAGGAAATCAAGATAACAAAAAGTGCCAGAAAGACATTAAAGCTTGAAATCAGAATGAGAATCAGTTCACTGACATGTTTTCCAGAGCAAGTTAGAGTCATGACTGCGGGAACATCGCAGAAAAAGTGATGGATCACATTGGACATACAAAAAGAGAGACAGAAGGTGTCTCCAACGTTAATAGAAGCATTCAGGAAGCCAAGGATATAGCAGCCCGTGGTCATACAGGCACAAACCCCGGGTGTCATGGTGGTGGTGTAGTGCAGGGGCTTGCACACTGCTGCGTAGCGGTCATAGGCCATGGAGGCCAAGAGGTAACTTTCCACAGTGGCAAAGACTATAAAAAAGAACATCTGAGCAGCACAGGCATTGTAGGAGATGACCTTGTCTCCTGTTAGAAACCCAGCCATGACCTTTGGCGTGATTGTTGAGGAGTAAGCGAAGTCCACCAGGGCCAGGTTACTGAGGAAGAAGTACATGGGCGTGTGGAGGCGGGGGTCCAGCAGGATCAGCACCACCATCCCCAGGTTCCCCACCACAGTGCTGAGGTAGAAGACGGTGAACATGATGAAGAGGGGGACCTGCAGGTCTGGGGCGCTGGTTAGTCCTAGGAGGATGAATTGTCTCAGCTCTGTATTATTCTCTGTGGGTGTGATTTGCGAATTCATGAGATGCTATATAGCAAAGAGAAGTAAAGGAACACACCAATCAGCAAAATATAGTTGCATAGAAATGAAATGTAGAAGCATTATTTTATTAGATAAATAATTTGTTCTTTAATATTATTTATTTCTAAAGCATGGGCATGACAATACAATTTAGCAATAAGTTATCTATGCAAAAATAGACTTTTGAAGAGGAGGGGTCTTTTCAGATCACCTTCCCAACTTCTTGATTTTGTATATGAATAAAATGAGTTGTCTAAGTTCACATGCCTGGAAATGAATTCATCTTCTAAGTCAGATCTTTTGAGTTTTCTAACAGCTTATACCTAAACTCTAGTGCTCACATGCCAGGTGCTTTATATGCATATAGTCATTTAATCCTCTCATCAGTTCATCAGATTGATTAGTTGTTTTTCCCATTTATATATCTAGGAACTTGGCAACAAAGAAATTGAGTAATTTATTCAAGATTACACAGGATTCATTGAGTTCAAGCTTTAGACTCAGTCAGAGTGGTTCCCAACCTAAATGCTATTAATGAATTTGAATTAAATTTAATTTTATTCAATTTATTTAATTGTCTCTATTGTACTGAACTTAATTCATAGAGTAGCATAGTTGAGTAATACATAAATAAATAGTAGATGCAGTGGGCTAAATGCAGCATTAGGGGCATGTACAACCAACAAAGCCAATTCTGATGAGAAGGTATAGCATTGGGTGTAAAAGCTTTGGCTCTGAGAAAACATGTGAATGTATTCATATATTAGCCCTATATATCATTTATTACCTGGAAGACATTGGTCTTAACTTATGTTAAACAAACATAAATCTTTAACTTCAATGGCTGAAAGGCTTTTTTGTAAGCAAACATTTATTGAGCCAAAATACTAGCCAAAACAAAACAAAATAAACAAAACAAACCTGGTCTTGGGCCATGGAGTCTAAACCCTCAGTAGCATGGGCAAGGTATAAAAGACAGAAGCATGTCCACTGTCCCAGAGTTTTGTGAGATTTTTTTTATCCACCAAGTAGGGGGAAGGGGGCAGAGATAGTCTGAAAGAATTTACATTGGCTAGAGGCAAAGGGGGAGGAAGCGAGGCGGGGCCAGCTCTGGGATAGGCCCAGCTCTGCATAAAGAATGTCCACTCCTGTGGACTGGTTGTGGGCAGCAGCCCGAAATCCCTGTGTAAACAACAGGCAGAGGCTCCTGGAGCTAGATGGTGCTTGGTTAAGATAATCTACAGAAATAGCCACCTGGGAATTAATCTGAAATTCCAACAGGCAATGGAAGGAAGGTGAGCAGTTGTTTGTCAGCTGGCCAGCAGCCATTAACAGACTAACAGTTATTAGTCTCAACCTCTGGCCATGGTAATTTAATTGAGAACATCTCCCAGTTTCCTCCTTGTCACTTGATTTCACTCATTTTATCCATCAGCAAAATGAAGGTGGTGTTGAGACCTACCTCAAGGGATTATTGTAAGAGAGGAAAGAAATGATGAATGAAAACAGCACAATGTGGATGTTTACGCAACTGTTAAGCACAATCCTGATGAGTACTGGCTGTGATATTATTATTAGCAGGGAACCATGGTCCCTGTGTTGGTTTAGGGAAGTCAGGTGACAGATGTAGGTGGGTGGGCTTTGAAGTGTGGTAGCTCTAACCTTTGAATTGCCTTTTCCTACATACCGCCCATTCAGATATTTTGTTCCCCTGCCCCCTGTATTTTTTACTCTGTTGTCATTTCGAATGATAGCATCGGGACCTTCAAGTCCTCTTTTTCTTAATCTCTTTCTTGAGATCCACATTTAGCTTGCGTTGAAGTATTTCCCTTCTTACACTCATTCTTACTGTCATTCCTATCAACACTTAGCTGCATCGCGGATATTGAGGTGTGGAGAAATGAAACTTCGTGCTCTGAGTGTGGATACTAATCTGCAGATCTATTCAGGAGAAAGCACAAATCCTTCATATTTTAGTTGGAGCCTTTTGAAAGACATTCATTCTTTGGTAACCACTATTCTCTACCATCTTCCTCCTGGCTCCTAAACACATTATTTCACATGTCTGTGCTTTAAATTATATGTATTTATCAACACTTCACCCACATAATAATGCAAAGTATTATTAAAAATATCACAATATATCAATTGATATCAATAGATCTCCTGAGGTTCGTAACAATTTAAAATTACTGATTACATGTAGTTTGTCTCATAAATGGAGAGACACATATATAGACACTAGATGACACCCAAGTGATGATTGGCACATAGATGATAAATAGCAGAGGAGGAAGGGATTAGACTGTGTACACACACACACACTCTAATTTACAGTTAAGAAAATGGAGGTTTCGAGAGGTTATCTACCTTTTAAAAATTCTCCACCTGTATGAGATAGTTAAGATGCAAACCCATGTCTAGCTGATCCCAATGCCTATGCATTTAATCACTGCACTGTCAGATTTTCTAAATGAGCGAGTAATAAAAGGGTGAGACTGTGGGGAAATGATGGTGAAAATAGAGTAAGGATCTTGGTAGCTTCATGGTAATGCTTCTGGACTCTAAAGAAGTGTTATTTTACCGGTTGGTTAACTGTCACTTCTGTGACAAGTCAACACATAGTAAATAGAAGCATGTACCAACTACTTAATCAGAGTTATCATCTATTGTAGGTTTTTGTTGCTCTCTAAAGGAAAGCAGCATGGAAATTCATTAATATTACTCTAGTCTCTGCTGGTTTAAGTGTTTTGCATTTGAATCCTATATTTATGCCAGTGTTTCAGAAAGAAGTGTTCAAACAGCCAGATATGAGCTCAGAAACTCATAGAAGATGTAGCTTCCTTACTGCTTCTGCCTCAATTACATTTCTCACTACAGGTGTATATTGAATATAGGGGCTTACCTTGCTCTTGAAATGAAGGGAAAGCCAGTCCTCAATTGTGAGTCTGAAGTCAGAAACTCAGCCCCAGGAGAATGTATAAATAATAGAGGAGAAATTCTCTCCCCCGGGCTAATCAAAAGCTTCCAAGGTCCCTGAAGCATGAAGAGACAGAGAAAAAAATCGTTAACGCGTGGAGCTAGGAAGTCTGGGTTTACGTATTGCAGGTACCTTGGATTTTTCTGCTTTCAGAAAATTATCTGTTGATCCCAGTTTCCTGATTTGTGATATAGAGATAATGAAATGATCTTGTCTACATATTTTGCAAAATTGTACTTGTGAATAGCAAATGAGGGTGGGTGTATAAAAGATCTAAGTGAGGGTTTCATTTTTGTCTTAAGGTGTCTTCCCTGTCCATGGTTGCAGACTCACTTTCAATACTCAGTTTGGGGAGCAGCTGATGTATACTAAAAATATTAGCATTTGCTTCAGTAAGCTGACCAAGTGAGCTCTGCTCAGGGTCTGGTCCTTTTAAAATAGTGCCGTGCAGAGTCATGATGACACTTCCCAGCCCGGGACTGAAAGCAAGAGATCGTGCAGGGCCAAGCTCTCAGGGGACAGGGTCCCGTGAGGGAGCCGCCCTCATGCCACCCACACGGGGAGGAAACAACTCCCCTGTGTACAGGGACATCATGCAGTGGCATATGCATCATATATTTTCAGTCTTGCTGTCTTTTCTTTCCCCCTCCATTTAAAAAATTAAGGTGTCTTTTACATAATCAAGAATGGTTTTGTTTAATTAATTTACATCTATTGTAATTTCTCGTATTTAAAATATATTTCTAAAAATTAATTTTGTTTTTTACCTGCCGTGTTTTTATTATTACGTTTTCCTCCCTTCCATTCTTTTTGGCATTATCACAAAATGTTAGGCTACTAGAAAATTTAAGAAATTGATAAATAATATCCATGTTTTTTCTTCCCCGGGTTTACAGGGAACAGACAAATATGACACATGTGTCAGAGAGATGGAGATTAACTTCTGCCTTAATTTTGATGAGTCAGTTTGAAAGTTTAGTTCAGGTCTGCAGGCAGATGGTTTTCTTTTCTCTCCCAAATTACCATCCTGTAGCCAGTGCTGATGGTGCTCTACCCACATCCCCTTGACACTCGTTCCTGGGTAGGCCAATGCTTATTATGAAACAGAAAAAAAAAAAAGATTCTGCAACTTTTAGGTTGAAGACTTCTTTTACTGCAAGAATATACTTAGCAACTGTGTGGGCCATTTAATTTAACTGAAGCAGCCGTCCTTAAATGCCAAAAGCAAAAAGAACAAAAATACCCAGTTTCCTCATCTTTCAGGTGGTACAGCTCTGAGTCACGCTTCATGTGCCTGGCCGAGTGGCTGAGCCTCAGATGTGTGGATAAGTCGAGTTGATTAGCAGCTTAGGCGGCTGTGGCCTTGAGGACAGGACTGCTGCTCCTCGAATCTGTTTTCTGTCCTGTAAAAACCCCTTCATATAGTTCCAGTATATTCACAGAGCTACAAAGATTACATTTAAGCATCATAAAAAACCTTCTCATACAGTGTCTGATAGAAGGAAATTATTCAGCACCGATTCCCCTTCTCTTTTCACTCTTCTCTAGCTGTCTCTACAACTCTGCTCGCCTTCAGGACAGCTTACCGCTTTACGGTGACAGATGTTTATCTGCTCGCACCTGAGGAATGTTTCCTACCTCCAACTCTTAAGGCACAGCCCGAATTGCTTTTATATAATCCACTCACATAATCTAAGTGTATTGAATCCCATGTACGTTCCAGGTAATATATTTGTTACCATTATCAAAAAGTAAATAATATGAGTCTTTAATTATTATGTGGGTAGAGACAGCAAGATCTACAAAGGGCCAAACTGAAAGAGCTATGAATGGTCAACGTGGAACAATGTGAGCAAAAACTACATAACCTAGTATTGGTCATTACCTATAACATACAATAAACGAGAACATGCTAATATGAATAAAGGACCGAGTTAATAAATAATTGAGGAAAAAGAGACAAATCTTGCTGATACGATGTGGTGAGAGACTCACACTTCACGTGAGTCCCTGAGAACTATAACCCCAGTCCCATCATGAGAAAATATCAGCAAATCACAATTGAAGGACATTCTGTGAAATACCTGACTAGTCATCTCAACACTGTCAAACCATCAAAAACAGGGAAAGACAGAGAGCTTGTCACAGACCAGAAGCGATTAAGGAGACACAACAATTAAATGCAAGAAAAGGAAATGATATTAGTGGGGAAATAATGAAATCTGAATAAAATCTGAAGTTTAGAAAATAGCATCGTGCCAATCTTGGTTTCTTAACTATACAAATGTACCCTGTAGGGGAAATTAGGCAAGAATGTTATTAGTTTTCTATGGCTGTGATAACAAATTACCACAAACCTGTTATTATTTTTTAATTATATTTTATTTTTATTGTTGATATTATTACAGATGTCCCCTGTTTTCCTTCCCTTTGTCCGTCTCCACCCAGACCCTGCCCTTCCCTCCCTCCAGAAGTCCAAAATCAGTTTCCCTGGACAAAAATCAATTAGTTGGAAGAGCTGTGCACCTTCTGGTGGCTGCTGGCATTCCATGGTTTGTAGGTCACATCACCTCTGTCTCTGCTTCCAAGGTCACATTGCCCACTCCCCTCTTATCATTTATCTGTGGTCAAGTCTCCCTGACTCTCTCTTAAGGTTACATTGGACATCTGCACTGTTTTAAAATTTTCTCTGTAACTCCAAAATAATTCTAAAGTTAAATGATTATTTATTTATTTATTTATTTTAATTTTTTTTTAGATATATCTTTATTGATTTTAGAGAGAGGAAAGGAGAGGGAGAGAGAGATAGAAACATCAATGTGAGAGAGTCATTGATCAAACCCACAACCCAGGCATGTGCCCTGACCGGGAATCGAACCCCGATTGCCTGGATCCTAGGTCGACGCTCAACCACTGAGCCACGCCTGGCTGGGCTAAATGATTATTTAAAATAATTGGAAATGGGTCCAAGAAGAGAATTATCACAGTAAAGAAAGCAGTGAACATTTGTGTTATGCTACCAACACCCAAAAGTACTAGGGTAAGAATGTCAGCATATCCAAGCACAGTCTTACAGATATTGAGATATTGGAGCCTCTTATTCACAAATTAGACAAGTGCACACATTTATGTGGGTAGGTTTTGTATAGTATAGAGCTCCCCGAGGACCAAAATTAAAAACATAAAGCTTATGCCCTGTACTAGCATATTGAATGTGCTAATTTTTTATTTTTGGCAGATGTTGTCATGTTTATATTCTCTATAGATATTTAGAATCATTTCAGTTAATTATATTTCATATGTACGAAATAATTTCAAATATAATCAGATACTAAACCTTTAAATGATCTCATATTCAAAGCCTTTTTGTGGTTTACTAACTAGTATTTGTTTGATGTTTTACTTGCCACTCAACGAGACATCACTTCTAAGTATAATTATAAGATTGTTGCATATGCTTCATTTACTTATGAGATCCAGGCAGTCTTTGTGTCCAATTATTGGGGTGCGTGCGATGAGTGAGAATGTATATAAAAGAATTTTAGCAAAGCAGCAAATTAGCTGAGCTTCCTGAAATGCACTGACCATCTGTCTAGAAAGTTAATGTTATGGGTGACACACTGTAATATTCAACATATTGATACAGTTGGACTCAAAGCTTAATTATTTTATTTGTTGATTTAACAAATATTTATTGAGAATTTACTATGAAATAGATAGTCATTTAGGTACCGTGGATCTTGCTGTAACCAAAACAGGTAAAGTCACTGCTCTCATGGAGCCTAAATTCTAGTTGGGGAAGATATATAATAAAGTAGACAAGTAAATATTTAACAGGCGATCACTCACAAGGACTATGAGGAACAACAGAGCGAAAGGACAATGTCCATGGGAATAGGAATGACTGTTTAATAAAGGGGCCAGGAAAGAAGTCTCTAATAGAGCAACATTTCAGCGCCAACCTTAACGGAGCCAGGGAGCATTCCACAGGGAAGGGCAAGTACAACTGCCCTGAGGAAGGAACATGTTTGGAGTTGTCAGATTGTGAAAAAATAGGGAAAAAATCAGTGCGAATGGAGTAGGGTAAAAGAATGAGGCACTAACAGAAGATCATTTAACTCAACAAAAGTAGACATGAAATATCAGTAATAACAATTCCAAAGCATTTCCAGAGGCAAAATGTAAAACACTATTGGTTTCTACTCCAAGGTGTAGGTATCCTCTTGGGGTGCATGCCTGCGCTTCGTTCATGGTCTCCTGTGTGGCCCCAGTTTTGATGTATCCGCATTGATGTGGTAGAAAAATGCATGTAGAGTAAGTGAATGAACCAATATCCTTACTAAGGTTTTTGACAAGCAGGCCCCATGACATCTCAGCCATCCTGGTTCAGGTACATTTCTGGACATAATGTTCCTTTTTTCAGGACAAGAGGCTTTTGGATAGGACAGGATATTACTTGGGGACCTTAATTTTACTGTGGCCTTAATGAGACTAGGTTACTGTCCATTGCACAATCGTAAAATCATCATCCTAAAGAAAATCAATTTTGCCTCTGAAACAACCTTCTTGAGTGCACCCTTGACCTCTTTGTTCCTCAGGCTGTAGACCAGAGGGTTCAGCATGGGGATGACCATGGCATAGAACACGGAGGCCACCTTGTCTGTGTCCAGGGAGTGGCTGGAGCTGGGCTGTAAGTACATGAAGATGACAGTCCCGTAGAAGATGGAGACAGCAGTGAGGTGAGAGGCGCAGGTGGACAGAGCCTTCTGATACCCCGAAGATGAAGGCATCTTTAGGATGGTGATAAATATGAACAGGTAGGAAATCAAAATAACCACGAGAGCAAAAAAGATGTTGAAGCTTGCCACCACAACAAGAATCAGCTCACTAATGTGTCTGTCTGAGCAAGAAAGGGCTGCGACTGCTGGAATATCGCAGAAAAAGTGATGAACCACATTGGACTCACAGAAAGAGAGACTGAAGGTGTCCCTGGTGTGGATGGAAGCATTCAGGAAACCACAGACATAGGAGCCTATGGCCAGACCTGCACACACCTCGGGTGTCATGGTGGTGGTGTAGTGCAGGGGCTTGCACACTGCTGCGTAGCGGTCATAGGCCATGGAGGCCAAGAGGTAACTTTCCACAGTGGCAAAGACTATAAAAAAGAACATCTGAGCAGCACAGGCATTGTAGGAGATGACCTTGTCTCCTGTTAGAAACCCAGCCATGACCTTTGGCGTGATTGTTGAGGAGTAAGCGAAGTCCACCAGGGCCAGGTTACTGAGGAAGAAGTACATGGGCGTGTGGAGGCGGGGGTCCAGCAGGATCAGCACCGCCAGCCCCAGGTTCCCCACCACAGTGCTGAGGTAGATGAGGGTGAACATGATGAAGAGGGGGACCTGCAGGCCTGGGGCGCTGGCTAGTCCCACAAGGATGAAGTGTGTCACTTCTGTCCTGTTCTCCATTAATGCAAGAATCACAAAATGCTCATTGGCTATGGGAACAATGAAACAGTGATAAAGCAACTTAATTTGATAAGTGTGAATACAGTATGTATTATTTCATTACAGCAATAACATGTATTTCAAAATACTCCAGGCAGAAACGGGCTTGACACCAAAACTTAATATATTAACTATGCATAGATTTACATGTCGTTGAATCTGAAGGATCTTTACGGGAAATCTCTGTAATTTTAAAGTGTGTAAGTTTGTAAACTGAGATATAGAAACTTAAATAACTGAATGAATGGCTTGTCCACAGTGAATATATCCGCCAGTTCGCTTTTGCAAGCCTAGTAAAAGCACAAACTTGCACGCTGCTCACCTGCCCAAAACTGCTCCAGACACTTCAAAGGTACATTCATCAGACCCTCTGAACACGAGACGTGGATTTTATTACCACGCTCATTTAAATTAGGGCGCACAAGAGGCTGAGTAACTGTTTATATTCAAACATATTAATCGACAAGCCATGCTTTGGGTCCAAGCCGACCCTTGAATCCACACTGAGTGGTTCCTAAGTCCAATGGCCTTAGTTGCATGTAAGTCAAATTGAACTCACCTCCACTTACAGTTACTCTGTGTCTCTGTTGGTCCAAACACAATGGTTGGGGGTTCAGAGCGTAGTAACTGCGAGATGTATGCGTAGTCGGTGTGCTGGGAAATGGGAGCCGCCGGGCATGGACAGCCAGCAGAGGCAGCTCTGAGAAGGCGAAGCGTGGGGCCCAGAGGCCGGGCTCTGGGATGAGTGCATATTCACTCTGCTGTTTACCATGTAGGAATCAGTCATCCTAAACTAACTCACCTGAACCTCACATAGCGTCTGCAAAATTAAGGCAGCAATAAGACCTACTTTATTTACAGTATTACCGTAAAAATTAAATGAGGTAATACATTAAAAAACAGACTGACAGGAGGAGGTTAACCAAAGAACATATATGCATTTAGGCATAGCCCATGGACATGGACAATAGCGTGGGAAGGCCTGGGGCGGGGTGGGGGCTGGGTGAAGGGTGCCAAGGGGGAAGTGGGGGACATTTGTAACACTGTCAACAACAAAAAGTTAATTTAAAAAATAGTGCTGGGTGCTTGGCACAGTCTGATGAGTGCTGGCTGGGATGCTGCCATTAGGACGCAGGGATGGTCTCTGCGTTGGTTTGGGGAAGATGGGCGGTGACTGCTGGTCTCCAGGCCTGCGAGGGTTGTGTCGCTTTAAAGCCTTCCTCTCCAGTTTGCCTTTTCTCACACCCTGGGGCCACTGAGATTTTGTGCATCTCCAGTTTCTTCCCTCCTTGCGTCGCCTGTAAGGCTGCTCCAGCAATTCCACGAGAGCCACCATTCTGCTTTGTTTTTTCCTTGAAATCCATGTTTTACCTTGAACTAGTGCCCTGTTCTTAAACCCCTTCTTTCTCTCATTCCTGTCATAGCAGAATCACAGAGATCAGGGTTGAAAATTCCTTGTTTATGGGCTGTCTTTAGCCTATAGATGTATCTCGGTGCTGGGTGCTATGCTGTAAAATATTTTATTTGAATCTGTTCTGCGTAGGAACAGTATTTATTTTAAACCTTTTGTTTCAATTGGAAAGGTATCCATCTTCTGCTAACTACTAACATCTTCCTCCTAAAATTTAAAAAATCTTCACTTTTTAAAAGTTTTATTCAACTTATTGGGGTGACGTTGGTTCATAAAATGATATAGGTTTCTGGTGTACAAATCTACAATACATCATCTGTATATCGCATTGTGTGTTCACCACCCAAAGGCAAGTCTCCTGCCATCACCATATATTTGACCCCCTTTGCTCTTTTCTACCCCTAATACCCCTCTCCTAAAACTTTTGCAGCTACACTTCCCAAGCCTAGCTCATGACATTGTTCGCCAACCTTAACACACATGACCACTTTTACCATATAGTACATTCTGCAAAGAATAAGACTGTGTGTGTGTGTGTGTGTGTGTGTGTGTGTGTGTGTGTGTGTGTGTGTAAGGTAGATAGGTAGGTAATAATATTCCTACTTTACCATTAAGGAAATTGGGGATTTGGGGAATCTTGGGAAGCTATGTGATGCTCTAAAATTACACAGCTCATATGAGAGAATCTTGATTCAAGAGTTAAATTCACTTTTTATCTAATCAAAAGTCCCTGTTTGTAGCCCTTCACTGTCCATGTGTGTAGATGAGCTAGGAATGACAGGCATGAGGTACAGGGAAAAGTTTAAAATGTAGTTTGGGTCTTGTTAGTTCAGATTAGACATTCTTGTAGTTTAAAAATCATTTCACTCTTTTGCTTTTTTAGTTTATTTGTTAGTTTTTTCTCATTTTTTAAATTTCATTTTTCAACTACAGTTTACATTGTAAAGTATATGATTCCGTGTTTGTTTGTTTTTTACCTCCAACGAGAGGGTCAACATTTGGTGAACAAGGTGAAATTACCACTTGATCAATCAGAACCATCTGCATTATTTTTTTGTTCGGATCTTTAGGAAGGAAGAAAAAGGTTTCATAAGTCTCTATAAACTCTCATTTTTTGACATTTATACCCCAGTCTCACTTTAATATTTTAGCAAAACATTGAAAAATATGTTTTTGCTTTCAAATAACGTAAATACAGGGGTCTTACTGCTTTTGCATGAATTACACTTCTTGCTAAAAATGTTCATGGAATATAGATGCTTACCTGTCTGCTGGGAGGGAAAAACCGGTCAGTCAGAATATCAGCGGCAGAATATGCACAATGTGGTCAGAGGAGCGGCCTCTCGGGTAGCGGCATCAGGCTCCGAGGAGCGGAGCCGCTTACCTCCTTCTTGTAAAATAAACATCATAATATAATATTACCTCTGCCACATAATTCACAGAACTCTGTGAACAACACATAAGAGAAAACCTGTACAGCATCTCAGTGAGAGATTCTCATTTTAAAGTCAATGCAGGTCATTGTTATCTTAGGGTGTGCTCCTGACCATGGCTGCAGGCTCATAGCAAATCCTAGGAAAGGGCCCCTGGGTGCTGACAAGTGTCACCATGCAGATGAATAAGTGATCCCCGGCTGGGGCGCATCTAAAATGATGTCACACTGAGTCCCATTGGGATCTCCACAGCATGGGGCCGTGGAGAGGGTTGCGGAGACGGGGAGCTCTGGGAATGTCCCTAGAGGGCATCCACACCCCTCACCCCACTTTCCCAGGAAAGACGCAGTTAAACTGCCTGTGTGGACATGCTGATCATTTTCATTGTACATGGTTTTTTATTACTTGCCTTTTCTTCTTATTTCTGCCAATTTATAATTAGTGTATAGTTTATATACAGTAATATCCACAATTTTAGTGTATAGTTCTAAGAGATTCATCAAATTGGTGTTCAAGAAACCACTATTAGCTAAACAAATTCCTATGATCTTCTTTTGGAAAACTCTTTCTCCTACCCTCCCTTGTAACCAACAAACAGTTTTGCCTAAATAATGTTGCTTTTATAAGAATGTCCTTAACTGTGATCCTCGAATGTATACTCTTTGAGTCTGTCATCTTTCACTTAGCATCTGAGGTCCGTCCGCACTATTACCTGTGTCACAGTGAAATGCTTTTTATTGCAGAGGAGTGTTCCCTCACGTGGACATTACAGATCGTTTATCTTGTTCCACAGTGGAGGGACATTTGTGTTAGCTCTAGTGTTTGATAATTACAAATAAAGCTGATATAAACATTTGCCTAAGCATTTTCACATAAATACAAGTTTTCATGTCATTTGGGTAAATATCTAGGAATTGGATTGCTTGGCCATATGGTAAGTATATGTTTATTTAAATGCATATTACTACAGGAAAGAAGCCAGTATGAAAAGGCCACAGCCTGTATGATTCCAACTATATGACATTCTGGAAAAGGCAAAACTATGGAGACAGCAAAGGGATCAGTAGTTGCTAGGGCTTTGGAGAGCGAGGGGTGACTAGACGGAGCGTTTTAGGGCAGTAAAAATACTTTGTATGATATTATAATGGTGGATTCAATTCATTACACATTTATCAAAACCCACAGCATGTACAACACCAAGAGGAAACCCTAGGTAAGCTATGAAATTTGGGTGATTGTTTTATCTTTTTGAAAATTGTAATGTGAACATGATTCCACAAAATGACTCAGCCCAGACAGAAACATTAATTCATTTAAGAAGTGATATTTATGTATTTCTCAACAAAATGTGCCCAAAGAGTATCTATGTCCTTTTACTTAAAAGTATGTGAATATTTTCTCCTACTTAGGATCTTAGAACAGTTATTCAACAAAAGAAATAATTATGATTGGATATAACTTTGTGTTTAATATTTCAATTAACTACTTAAATTATTTTAATTAAAAACTAGCATATCTCTGACAAATTTTCCATTCTAGTGTGAGTGCCCAGATGGAGCACACACATGTACCTTTCTTCATTGGCTTGTTTGTGCCCCTGTTTAACATAAATGTTTGCATTGGCAGGTGGTAGAGAAAATTAAGTGGAACAAGTGAATAAATTAGATATCATTAGTAACGTTTGATGAGCAGGTCCCAAATTTCTAATGCTTTCCCTTAGCCACCCTCACTCAACTATTATATTTCTGAATATGTTTTCTCTTTACTGGACAAAATCTTTTGAAAAAATAAGGATGTCACCTCAGGAATTTAAATGCATGTGGGACTTAAAAAGTAATTTATTGCATGGAAAAAGTCTGAGAGAAACTAAACAATGTTATTGTGCATACTACAAGGTTAAAATCCCAACCCCACAGAAAATTTTGCCTTCTCAATCACCTTCTTGAGTGCACCCTTCACCTCTTTGTTCCTCAGGCTGTAGACCAGAGGGTTCAGCATGGGGATGACCATGGCATAGAACACGGAGGCCACCTTGTCTGTGTCCAGGGAGTGGCTGGAGCTGGGCTGTAAGTACATGAAGATGACAGTCCCGTAGAAGATGGAGACTGTAGTGAGGT